GTACTATATAACATTTTAGACACATTCTAGACAGTTTATCAGCTAAAAAAAAGTTAACTTGGGGTAAGTTACTCTTTAACATTGTTCACGAGTCTCACGTTTAAAAACGGAAATGATGAGAAGACAGGTTTATTTACTATTTAAACAATAAAAACAGCATTTTATTAACAACTAAAGGTGATATAGATACTTTATTATGGTATAGAATTTAAATATATGCCTGAGAAACACATAATATTGCCCCTTTAACTCATTCAAAAAAATGTAAGATAATTTTCTGAAGWCATAGTGGTGTCTTTCTTTTTTAGAGAACTAAATCTATGTAATCAACTACCTGGCAGGATGGTCCTCTGTATCCCTGAGGACAGGCACACTCCTCCACCTCCAGAGCTTGTTCATTACCCGTTGAATGAGGAACAGCAATGTCCATCTTGATATCTGAGATGCTTTGAAACACAACAAGGCACAAAGAAAGAATAGTTTATTTTAGTGATAATAATTGTAAAAAAACGTGAATGTACATTTATTTARTTTACCAACATTACCTGGTTTCAACCATACTGTCCACATAGGTGGCCCTAATCATAAAAACAGCAACATCAGCCAGGGCCATCAGCAGATGTTCACGAGTGCAGGGCTGGCCATCAGCCCGTCGCCAGTCCGCCTGACAAACACGAGTGACAATCAAGCACAATATGGCTTCATAAAGATGAAGAATGGAGACAAACGCACCTCTCTGAACGTCACAGTAAACGTGTGCGGGAGCCGTGGTAGAGACCTTGTCTGAGAGAAGTGCTCCAGAAAGATGTTGTTGCCTTGAAGAACCACATCTGGATGCCCGTCAAACGCCAGAGCGCGCAGATGTGGCTCAAAGCTCACGGTGTAGTGCAGCTCCCCACCATATGCAGTCACCTGGTTAGGGAAAGAAAAGCTCATCTCAACAAAAGCACACAGTAGAAAGGCATTACATCCTGTTGATTCTGTGCAGAAAGTCAAAGAACTCGCAGGACACGTTTGACAGTGAATTTAAAGGTTCTCTATCTGCGTGACTTTTCACCTTATCGCCTCTGAAGCTCTCAGGCAGGACCCAGTAGTAAACGTCATTGAAGCCACTTGGGGAAGGCCGGTAGACGGCTGCAGAGCCCCTCTGTTGGATTCCTTCTGTGATAGTTTTAGAGTTGGTGCTGTCAGTGAGGGAGAAGACCTCCCCGTTGACTCCTCCTCGCACCTGAGACACATAAATAGCAGATACAGTAAATAAAAAATATACCTGAAAGAATCTGATAGCACCTGGCATCTGGTGCATTTGTGTGTAGGGTAGGGTTGGGCAGCATTGATCATTTTCATAAAAATACCGTGGTATACGGTACTGAAGTAGGTGGCTTGTTGAGTATAACAGAGAAACGGCTGCTTGTGAACATTTACATGCATAGAGACGAAGCTGCCACTCAGAGCGGCAGGAGAAGAGTCACAAAATGAGCTTTCACCTTATTATGTTGAACAGATCCAAATATGTTAATCTACACATTTTTAGTTTTAAGTTTCTAAATAATCTGACTCTTGCCATGGTCGTATCAAAGCTGCTGCATACTTCGAGCCAGAAAAGTCTTTGTGCAATAGTTTGTCATTTCCTCGTCTGCAGCGTGAGCTGCACGCCAAAAAGTAATAACAAAAAAATCACAGAAAGTTTAAATCTGAAAGGAGTCCCACTCTTTGACTTAAGAAACCCACGGCTGGTTGGTCCTTGAAACTGTCTGTTAGAACTACAGTGACCCATCTTTTGGGAGCCAGTGAGAAACATGCCTGGACGTATTTGGCTGCGTGTCAACCTTGCTCCGAGTTTTTATCTTTTTACTCACTCTAATGCGCGACAAACAGGGGGGGTCTCTGCTCCTCCCTCTCTTCTGTTTGTCTCCTGAATGGGCTGAGGTGAGCAGAACTCGGGTCAGTAACAACATGTGGCAACTTCTAAAATGTTTATGTCCCAGTTTTCATAGCAGCCATTTAGAAATTTSMTGCTTTGCCTCACATGACTCATACAGTCAGAATTTCTATAAATRACATCATATTTTGATACCGCGGTATAACATAATACCTTCATACTGCCCAAGCCTAGTGGTGAGCATCTTAAAGACGGCTGACTTCAAAAGATAAYAGGTTGTAGATGTACCATTCACTGATTACCATCTGATAATTTAATACAATTTGYAGTGGTGGGCAGCGCTAATCCAAAATTTATTTCCGCAATTTCTAAAGCGCTTATGAAAATATTTAGGTCTGCAACTTCAAAAGCGCTCATGCCATAGAAAAACTAGCGGAAGCTAGATTTAAAGTGCAAGTTCAATTTGACACTTACTAGCTGGCAACAATTCATGTACAATATGTGCACAACACTGCCAACTAGCAGTGTCTGAACTCTTTTACAACTTAATTCTACAACCGCCGATTGCTGGGGATGTGATTTCCTGAAACAGAACTTTAGCTCCTGGTGTAAAAATTAAAAAGTTGTTGAGGATTGCTAGTTCGACTGATTCTTTAAAAAGTTGTTGAGGATTGCTAGTTCGGCTGGTTCTTTAAAAAGTTGTTGAGGATTGCTAGTTCGGCTGCTTCTTTAAAAAGTTGTTGAGGATTGCTAGTTCGGCTGCTTCTTTGTCTTTTTCTTTTGTTTGTTGTAGATTTTTCATTAAAGAAGCATCAATAAAGTAATTTTAAAACTGTTTATTGGAAAACCTAAGCGATGCATTCTGAGTAAATGACGGATTTGATTTGTGACGGGAAATCATGGAGAACAGGAAACTATCTTCCCTTCAAAATAAGAGCTTGGATTTTAAAGTTTTTCACGTCTTCAAGTCTTGAAGGAGAGATGAAATGTTTCACTAAAGAAGAACCATCCAGAGGACCTACTGATTTTTTCTTTTTGGTTTTTTTYTACCTGGATTAGGACGTTTTCCATATAGTTGCTCCAGTTGACCACTAGATGTCAGTCTTCACCAGTATAACATCTTTAAATCATTTCTGAGTGTCTAACACTGTTGGCCGATTGCTTTTGAGCTCCAGTGTTTAAACT